AGAAAGAAAAAAAAAGCCGGAAGTGGCACTGTGGCTCAAGTGGTAGAGCGCTAGCCTTGAGCTGAAGAGCTGAGGGACAGAGCCCAGGCCCAGAGTTCAGGCCTCACAACCAGACCCCCCCCCAAAAAAAAAAATAAAAGAAAGGGCATTAAGCTACACTGTCTTCACAATACGCAGCAGCGTCAGCAAAGCCCTTCTCTGGAACACCAAGGACAGAATAAGCACTGGGGTCACTCACGCCCAGCAAGTTGCGAGGCACGTATCCCTCCTTGTCATTGAGGCGAGCCCACCACCATTCAATCTCATCTTCATCTTCCCTGCGGACGATGGTCATGCAGTCTCCCTCTTTCAAAAGAAGCTCATCATCGTTCTGAGGCTCATAATCCCACAGTGCATAAATGACTCCTTTATTCATTATGCCCATCTTCTCCTGAACTCCTACAATCAGGACAGAAAGACACAGCTTGAGACATCCCACTTGGACATTAACATACTTAAGAACGTTTAGCTACATGAAACTAAGTGGGAAAACTCAATGACTCCATTTTCAGAGGAGGAGGAAAAGGTAGAAGGCAAGCAGCATATATGTTACTCTAAAAGCAGTTCTAACAACTAGCACCTTATACCTATTCTCAAAACTGGCCTTATTCAGAGAACAGAAACTTTTGCCAGTCCAGGAACTTAAATAAAAAAATTAAAAGAACTTAATGAGTCTAGAATATTAACAGAGTAAATGATATGCTTGTCAACTTTCAGCATACTTCCAAGTATAATGACCGAGGAATTCTGAAAGTATCACTTCCTTTTTTACCTGACACTCAGAACAGACAGGAAAAGAAGAAATAAGAAAATCACACTTATTAAAATGTTCTCCATTACAGGGCGCCAGTGGCTCATGCCTATAGTTCTAGTTACTCAGGAGGCTGAGATCTGGGGATCACAGTTTGAAGCCAGCCCAGGCAGGAAAATCTGTAGACTCTCTTATCTCCAATTAACCACCAGAAAACTAGAAGTGGAACTGTGGCTCCAAGTGGTATAGCTTTGAGCAAAAAGAGTTCAGAGATAGCACCTATGCCCTGAGTTCAAGCCCCACAACCAACTAAGAAAATGCAAAGGTTTCCATCAACTCCCAAATGGAGAAAGAAAGGAAATTCATATAAAATATGTGAGGATATAGAATATAGCATCTCTGACATAAAAGTCCATATAGCCACTCTAAAAAATAATGAAAAGCAGAATCCTGAATGACTTTGAAAACCAAAAATTGGGGAAAGAAAAAGATCTCAAAAAGCTTACTTTTCACACGAGAATTAACCAAGTTTCAAATTAACTTTTTTTGGGGGGGGCGGAGAGGTGCCAGTACTGAGATCCAGGGCACTATCCCTTAGCCTTTGTACTTAAGGCGGGTGCACTACTGCTGATACACACCTACACTTCTGGCTTTTTGCTGGTTAACTGAAGAGCCTGACTTTTTTGCCTGAGCTGGCTTTGAATCACAATATGAAGATCTCAGATCTCAGCCTCCTAAGGATCTGGGATTAGACATGAGCCACCAGTGTCTAGTCCAAATTAACTTTGAAGCTGCACTTTTCTCCACATATACCTTCCAATCCTACAGGCAGAGGTCAATGAAATGATAACCAGAAACAACAGTCAACTTGCAGGTGATAGGAAGAAAGGAAAGGGAAAGGAAGGGAATTAGACAATAAGTTTTTCAACAATTCCAAGTTAACTTCCATGAAAAGATACATATTAGTCACCATTAAGGCTAAAACCTCACTTAATGGGGTTGATAATCCAAAGATTTAAAATCAGCCTACTATGTCAATAGCAGCATTAGCATTTCTCAGCTGAAATAGCAACAACCATTTCAAGACACACACAAAGATCTGTGACTAGGCTGTCCTACGTTTAGCACCTGGAACCAAGCAAAGCAAAGAGATTTTTCCAAATAAGTAACACATTTATTAAATCATACCACAGAAGGAGGAAGGGGGAGAGGTAAACAAATGCATACATCAACACGCTGAGCCTTGTGGGTTACGCACCATAGAGAAACTGAGAACACTGAGTGTAGCCTTCCTCCATTTCCTCACACTTATCTGCAGCAGTCTGCATGTCACTGTAGGTCATAGCGAACACTGCCGCTCCAGATTCCACCAAAAACTTACACACCTGGACATTGTTACACGAGGCAGCACAGTGCAATGGGGTCCTGTGAAGGAAACACAGCAAGAGTTAACAATGCTCTCCAAAGTGATTGCCACCTGTTTGGTAAGTTGTATATAAGGAAGATTTTCCTTATATTTTAACTTCCTTGGGGACATGTTGTTCTGGGTTTTTCTTCTTTCTCTTTCCTATTGCAAGTATTATTCCTAGCTCAGGAAACAATAGCAATTTTTTATTTTTTATTGCATGGTTTCTAAGAGTAAAAGAACTGTATACAATCTAAGCTTCCAATATTAGGGAAACAAGGACAGTTCAATGTAATAAGGATTTGACTTGGGGCTGGGAAAGTGGCTCAGTGGTAGAGTGCATGCCTTGCATTCATGAGGCCCTGGGTTTGACTCTTCAGCACCACATAAGCAGAAAAAACTGGAAGTGGCACTGTGGCTCAAGTGGTAGAGTGCTAGCCTTGAGCTGAAGAGCTGAGGGACAGTGCCCAGGCCCAGAGTCCAAGCCCCACGACCGACCAAAAAAAAAAAAAAAACATTTCAAACAAACAAACAGACCAAAAAAAAGGATTTGACTTATTTATAATGCCAAACCAAAAGTTAGGCTACAGTATCACAAAATCTATTATTAACAACATTAAGAGCTTGAAGGCTGAAGGAGCAAGTAGAACATGTGTGTAATATGCACAAAGCCCTGGGTTCAATCCTACCACCAACGTCTGGAGATGGAGGGGGATGGGAGTGTTAGAGCAGCTTAAAGCAAATACATTCAAATCTATCAATGGTGTTTACTTAAAAGATTATTGGAGGTGCAGATAGCTTGTTTTTCTCTTCTTATTTCTCTATTTTACACATTTTCCAGAATGGATACATGTTACTTCTATAATTACTTTTAAATGCAAGAAAATGTCTCCAAGCATTATTTACAACAATGAAAAACTGGAATGATCAAAAGCTAATTCAAATTTACTTTTATGTCTTATAGGCAACTTATATGAATCTGAAATAATTATTTGTACATAGAAAGGGAAAACAAGCTATAAAAAACTAAATACTAATATAACTTTTAAAGTTTTTTACTAGCCCACAAAAAGAACTTTCAGCTGTCACCCCCTTATCCACAGTTTTGCTTTCTAGTTTCAGTTGCATGAAGTTAATCAAGATCTAATACTACTAAAAGGAAAATTCTAAAAATAAGCCAAAAGTTTTCAGTCAAGCCCGGTTCTCAGAAGTGCGGTGAAATCCTGCACCGCCAGCCCTGGGACGTGACCACGCCTTGTCCAGTGCGACCACAGTCAAGCCACCTGTGCTTCGTCACCAAGTAGCCAACTCTATACCCAAATCACTTTCATTGTATTCCAGTGCCTGTGTCCAAGAAACCTCCATTTTACTCAATCGCCTCAAGGGACAAGAGCAGGGGTGCTTTATTACAGTATATTATTGTGACTATTTACTGTTGTTAAATCACAGGTATGTATGCACAGATTCAAAACACTAGTGTATGTACAGGGCTCAGCGCTATCCTCAACTTCAAGCATTCCCAGAGGGTCTTGGAATATAGCCCCATATAATAAAGTTTAACTACTGTATTATAATTTAAAGCTTAAATCTTCCTTCTTTTTTAAAAACAAGAGGCAAAATTTACTATCCAGTCTATTGTAGTTATTGAGAATAACAGTAACTCATCAGGACCATTATTATTATCGTTATCATTATTATTGTTACATGCCAAGTAACATTTTTGTTATCCTGCAACAATTATCAGTGTTTTACTAACACACTAGGTGCCACAAAATGTCACATGAAAAATGGATTTAATGGTCAAATATATTTGTGGAATATTATAAAATTATAATACCCTCTTAGAGACATGAAATTCATATCAGTATATTAAACACTCAAAAGTTTCAAGGATTTAGACCATGCTTAAATCAGCATTTCTCAAATTTAAGCATGCTTATTTATATATTACTTGATAACACTTATCTTTACTATAACTTAATTATTAAACTTTTTTTAAAAGTCCATCTACTACTTCCAGAAATGGACAGAAATGACTGCCCTATGAGACATGCTAACTCCTCAAAAACACATAGCATGTCTGTCTACTAACAACAAGAATGGGAGGGTATACACTCACATACTTCATCTTCTGCAACACTGCTCATACAGCACACTCTCACAACTGAAGCTAATCTATGTTAAAGGAGACTTACCATCCATCGCTATCTGCAGCATTCACATTCACACCAAACTGTACCAGGAACTTCACGATTTCTGTGTGGCCTGCGCACACAGCATTGTGTAGGGCTGTGATGCCTTCATCATTGGGCAGACTTGGGTCATCAACCTGTAGCATCAATCATAAGGGTAAGTAAGCTTCATTCCAAGTATTGTCACCTAGCTCCTTGGGGTTAAGATAACAGTAAGAGACTTTTGGGGCAGTTTTAAAAATCATAACTAAAACTTATAGAACTAAGAAAACTTTATTAAGAGCAGTTCTAAAAATAGAGCAGAGAAAAGCCAAATTGAAGTAGTTGTTCACTATAAAAATATTTTTAATTAAAAAAATAAATTACATCCTTATAGTGATTTTTATTTATCCTCTGAACTTGGCATCATAAATAAGTCACATTTGCTATGGAAAGGAAAAACAAAGATCACATAAAAATGTTTTAAACGGTAGGCTTCTGAAAAGTAAGTACCATATCAGTAATTCAATACTGTACAAGAAAAATCTATATATGAGCAATATTTATAGCAGAGAATGTTGTCCCAAAGAAAGAAAAGCACTTTAAGGTTCTAAGTGAAAACTGAACTTCTATGTATCCGTATTTCTATTACATTTTTAGAATAGCACAGCCTATTTTAGAGCATAATTAAAAGTTCCTCTCCACATCCCAAAAAAAGAAAATTTAAAAACAGAATTTCTCTATGGTTTAAGTTTTTAAAGGGTCTATTCTGACCCTTAAAAAAATGAAACACAAAATCCTATTTATAGCCATACCTCATAAATAATTCTCTGTACTAGGTCAAATTCCCCCTCCAAAGATGAATCGAGGAGTAGAGCAAGAGGGTTGAATTTCACTCTCATCCCGTGGGCTATGCGCTCAGAGCCGGCTTTACGTAAGTTTGTCCTTTTTCCCTGCAATGGAAATGCACAAAAAAATTAAGCCAAAGAAAACAACAAAGAATGAACCAATGCAACAGCAATACTCACAAGACACTATGTTAGAAATGAACCGTACTCATTACCTTACTTAATGTAACTGTAACTCTTATCACCTTTACAATAAAATAAAGTTAAAATTTTTAAAAAGGGCAGAAAAAAGATCATAAAAATATTCAAAAGAAAATAACAAAAAGCTAAAGTAGTAAAAGGAACTTTAGAAAAAGAGAAAGCTTACATATTATAGTACACTGCTTAATAAATTTTCATGAAGTGACTATCCACATAGGCAAATGGGAGGAGCTTAGCCTTACAAAGCCTGATGGAAGTCCCGGTGAGGACATGAGAATACAAATGGAGCTCAGTATAATCTGAAGTGACAACTAGTCTGGCTATCCATCAAGCAGCACAATCAGCCAATAGTGGTCTTTAAATCGCCCATCTGAATACAGTACAGCAAGCCTCACACTCAAGCTGGGTAACAGCCAAGCTCAGGACTATAATACCTAAGATATACAAATGACCGTTCACTTACTCTTCACAAAAACCCCACTGTCCCTTAATTTACACAAAAGAAAACCAAGGCACACAACTGGTAAGCAGCAGAGCTGGATTGTAAATGCAGGTAAAGCTGGCTTCCGCGAAGCCCTGCTCAACCCATTTCATACCTCAGTGTTTCCTCTGGCAAATGCAGGTAATTAAGCTAAATAATAAAGTTATTACTTATTACTAGGTATACACAGGAGGATTCCTACCCATCTTAGTATGTTTTTTCAGGCTGAAAAAAAAAGGCATTAAAGACTAGCTCTAATATCTATTAAACACATTCAACAAAATAGAAACACTTTCTAAAGTATGATATATACACTTAATATGCATATGATACATACATGATACTGTGTTTTTATTATATGCTTTTATTTCAAATTGGAAAGCCACAGGTGAATGAAGAACACAAAGTGACGAGCAACACCTCGCAACTGCACCTACAACCCTCAGGTTGGGAATGCTGCTAACAGCTGTCCTAAGTGACCAACTTTGGGGGAAAGGACAAGACAGTGCTTCAGACAAGAAGGAAAAACAGTAAATCACTTTCCTAGGAAGAAAGGCACAGTATCTTCCAAACAAAGTATGATCCTTTGACAAATTCCAGTTTCTTTTCTCCTTCCGTGAAAGTAAAATTTATTTTGACATAACAACAAAAAAAGAGGAGAAACAACAAATAGTTATGGTGAGGGGTGGTCTTGGTCAGTATAGTTTAAACTCTTCTCACATTTAAGACTAAAATGAGGAGAATCAAGCCTTAGAACTTAAAAGACAAAATGGTTTAAAAAATGCTAACTTCTATTTTAAAACTTTTTCTTCTCATTTCAAATGTTTTCTGTTTCGTAAGAGTTTTAAATAAATGTCTACTTTAACCAGTAGAGTAACTTTGGATAGCCAGAAGATATAATAAGGGATCCAACATATAAAGTATAATTTTTAAACAATCATTTAAAAATGCTATTTTTGCTTTTAACACATTTTAAATTCATGACTCAACTATATAATGTGAGTATGTGTGTATGTACCTATCTATCTATGTCTGTAGCTAGATATTCTATGCTTAAAGAATCCAAATGACTTCTAATCAAAATATAGAAAAGCAGACTTTACTCAGACATTATGGAGTTACCTAGTTCTCACCTATTGCAAAGTGACTTGACAAATTTCTAAATAAAAGCCTAGTTCTTAGAAGCAGTATAGAAGGCACCCCAAAGCCCAAAAAACATATAGTTTTTAAATAACAACGTTAGAGTACAAAGGAACTTAGGGATCATGCATTTGCTAGAGTTCCAAGCTCCATAGGGGAAGGCAGACCTAGAGATGCCCACCACCTTCTGCCCAGTTACCTCCCTGCTACCTCTTCACCCAACTCTTCCAATTTTATACTATTTTAAGATTTCACCTAATACTTCATTAAAAACAAATTTCATTGATAGGAAAAAGAAATGTTTGAGAATGGGACACTGCCTAGAAGAGATTTATGCTATCTGCCAGGCCTCACAGGGCTAAGCTAGGAATCAAGTTCCAATCCGGGTCTTTTCATTCCAGTGTTGCTCCCCTGATGTGGATCAACTTAGATGGAGAGGGAAACAGCAAATGAAGCATTTATAGAGATAAGAACAGTAATTGTTTCAGGTTCTTTTTAAAATACAGAAAGTCTTTTTATTGAATATACTACATTTTATGGCACCTATTAAAAGCCACTCTGTGCAAGGGAAAGACTTGGAAAAAAATTATATTAAGTAAAGTAAGCTAGGCACAAAGAAACATAGGTCCCATGATTTCCCTTATTTGCAATAACTAGTATATGTCTGAGACAAGCAGAAACGGTCAGATAAGTTGATGTTAGGTGAAATGAACCCCAAGATAAGGATTCAAATGTTTTTTTCTTTCTTGCTGTTTTCTTTGTTGCTTTGTATGTCCCTCCCCCACGGTATAACCCCATGTTTTCACTGTATTTGATGTAGCTATAATTTGTGGAGGGGAAGGTGAACCCATTGCAACAGTGAGATGTACAAAACATTATGTTGAAAAACGAACTTTACAACTTTGGGGCAGTGGCGGGGGTGGGGAGGGGATGGGAAGGGGAAACAAAGGAGGAAGCAACAATGCTTGCTAGGAAATGTACTCATTACCTTGCCCATGTAATTGTAACCCCTCTGTATGGCATTTTCACAATAAAAAAATAAAAAGGCAAGCTGGAGAAGAATAGGACCGTCTAGTAGGGCATGACAAAGTAACACCTTCCCTAAATGGCCATGAGGCATGACGTTACTCACAGGAGGTAGAGAGACCTGTCCAGTGATCTCAGGTGGGCGCATGCGCACAGAGTCTTCTTCAGGCACTTCAGGCTCCCCGGATGGGTAAGGCGGGGGTGGGTAAGGAGGGTACTCTTCCAGGTACACTTCAAGCAGATGAGGAGCCTCCGGGTTTGCTTCTTCTGCATTATTCTGCAGATTTGAACTGATCTCTGGGACTCCTTCAGGCACATAATCAAGGCCTGGAGAAGGAGCTGGCATGTCACTGTTCTCTGTGCTGGAACTTCCCACCTCCTCTGGGGGCAATGACTCAGCAGCCAGGGAGACAACCTCCTTTTCTGGCTCTCCATGTAAATAGGGATTCGCGATATCGACCGGGCTTTCTGGGCTGACAGTCACTGAGGTGGATGACTTAGACGGAACCGAGATGGTCTCCATGGCAGCGATGGTTGTCCGCTGGTACAAAAGTTTCTGAATATTTGGTCCATTGGGACCCTCTGGCTCTGTAATAGAGCTACGCTTCTTTAGAGGCCTTGGTGCATTAGATAGTTTCTTTCGGAGGGCTTCCAAGTCAGCATCACTCTGGTTTCGATAAGGATTAGATAAGAAAGGCAGCAATTTGGTTGGGCTGAGTGGTCGAGGAATTCTTTCGTTTTCATGGTTCTCGTGGACTGAAGAAACAGGCTCTGTTTCAGGTTCTGGACTGCCAGGCTTGCCCTGGCAGTTGGAATAAATGTTCTCTGGGTGCTGCTGTGGATTTTGGACAGCAGCAATCACAGGCTTACCATACACTAGTCAGGAAAAGGAAGAGAAAAGCTCTCATTAGCACTAAACAAAACTAGACAGGAACAGGAACAGTTAACAACTAAAGCCCCTCTTAATTTCAGTTACCACACAACTGCCTCTCAAGCAGAACTGACTTCTTAAAATAACAAAAGACAAAGCAAAGATTTCATCTTTGCATATTAAACATATTATAGAATCAAAATCCCCTCTGATTTTAAAGGGCACCATTATTTTATGAAATAGTAAGAAAATCTGGCCAACTATAAGCAATCACTGACTGTGCTATCCCAATTTAAAATGACAACATGAAAAGGCTTAGAACCAATCAAAATTTTAATCCATTACATGCTCAGACCAAATGCAAATAGGCACTATCCCAACTTTATACTGTTCAAAGTGAATCACTGAGAAATTATATTTGGCTTACAAATTAAGAACCACTGTCTTTTTAACATTCAATTCTATCAAAATCATCTAGTTCCAAATTATTAGTGATGTTTTCACCAAAGATTCATGATAGAACATGAAGTAGCACTACAATGATTCTTCGATAAGCTAGTTACGGTTTCCTATTTAGCTTTGTGTCCTCATTAGAATAACTTAAAAATATGGCTGTATCACTTCTGAAAGTACAGGACACAGAGCACTACCGCCCCAGCCCCATTCTCTGAGCACCAAGAGTGCCTGGGCACAGGAGCAGAGCAGATTCGGCCACCCCACCCCCACCGTGTCAGAACTGCCCCTGCACAGTGCAGTACAGTTTCAGCTCTCAGCAATCGCATCAGCCAGCCAAATAGAGAGCAGTTATTTTGCTGTCTGCTGGCAGCTCTGGGGTAGGACTTCAGCATGCCATCTATTTAGGTAGAAGAGACCAAGAACGTTACCGCTCGCAAAGTGTGGGCCTCTGCTCTGCGTCTTGGTCAATGCACTCTGCACAGCCTGTTGGAAATTCTTTCCTGGAGCCTGATGCTGTGTATACATAGAGTATATGGAACTTGCTGCCACGGTCTGTGGTTTTCGGAAGGCTGGAAGGAGGGCGTCTTTAGAAGGCTGAGGAGTAAAGGGCCGAACTGCAGCAGCAGGTGGACTCTCCTGCTTAGACCCTGGAGAAAGGGTTTGGTCCTGACCTGCAGGTGTGCTGGGAGAAAGTAGCACCCTCGGCTGCTGCCCTGCAGCTGGCTTGGGTTTATTTCCCATGGATGTAAGCACTGTTGGCAACTGCTGAGGATTTCCATCGAGCTTAATGTCTAAAGGTGGCTGATTTGTTTGTCCAAAATAAGGCAAATTAATCTGTTTTGGTTTTGTAGGAACGGGAGGTGGTACTTTAGCCACATTTTTATTTGCAGCCTATAAAACACACAGACACACAAGAGGAGAGTGGGGGTAAGTTAAAACACTGTATAACTGAGTATATAGGACATCTTAGACAACCTAATTTACAAATATAAGTGTACCATACGGGCATAGTAACTCTTTAAAGATATAACAACTTAAATCCTTTAAAAAGCCTCAAATCTCTGTATTTAAACATATTTCTTAGGAGATCTCAGTGACATAAAACCCTTCTCCCCCTATATTACTTCCTTCTTGTTCCTGACCACTTAAAAACTTTTAATAGCTGTCTTTCAAATTCTCGGGTAGCACCAAGAAATAAAAGCCATTCTTGTTCACTAGAACCTCATAATCTAGCCAGGTGTTACTGTGCATGCCCGTAACCCCAAAATCTGGGAGGCTTACACATAAGAATCATGAATTAGAGGCCAACCTGAACAACAAAGAGACTCTGTCTCAAAAATAAACAAACTCAGGAAATATTTCTCTACTTCTATTCATCCCTACTTTAACCCCATTACACTAAAATAAATCGTTGTTAACAATTAGAAAGAAGAATCCCACAAGCCAGGTACTGGTGGCTCACGCCTATAACCTTAGCTACTCAGGACACTGAGCTCCAGAGGATCACAGTTTGAGGTCAGCCCAAACAAAAACTTCACTAGACACTATCTCCAAATTAACCAACAAAACACAGGGATGGAGGTGTGGTTCAAGTGGTACAGCAGCTTAGTAAGTATAAGGCCCTGAGTTCAAATTCCAGTACCATCAAACAACACACACACACACACACACAAATAACCCCAAAGAAAATTTAAAATTCACCTCACTTGTCGCGTTCACCCTAACCTGCTTATCCAAAGTTTAGATCCTGATGGTTATAACAATAATTTGTTATGAAGTTGTTTGACCTAACTTCAGCTCCAACTTTCAAATGATTCTCATAAAGCACACTTTGTTCTTCAATGTGCTTACATTCTTACAAAAATCATGACGTATGACTAAGAAGCAAAAACATCATTCATTCTCCAATACAGAGCGAAAGCAAATATATTCAGGCAAAAATGTGAAAGTAACAGAATGCTATTACATTTTCTTTTCTTTTCTTATTTTTTTTTTGGGGGGGGGGCGTCTGGTCGTGGGGCCTGAACTCTGGGCCTGGGCGCTGTCCCTTAGCTCTTCAGCTCAAGGCTAGCGCTCTACCACTTGAACCACAGCGCCACTTCTGGCTTTTTTCTTTTTGCTTATGTGGTGCTAAGGAATGGAACCCAGGGCCTCAGGCATGCAAGGCAAGCGCTCTACCACTGAGCCACCTTCCCAGCCCTGCTATTACATTTTCTAATGTTCCAGATACACTTTATTTCATCTGGTCTCTTTCACCAATTTTATTTCTTCTAAAACATATGCTACAGAACTACCACTGCATTTTAACAACTGGAATACTCCTAAGTACCTGTGCATCCCGCAAGATATCCTCACTGCTCTGGTTCTTCCGCAGTGTACCAAAGGAGGAGGGGGCAGCACACTGGTCCACAGTGTCGAACATTGAAAAGGGACGCACTTTCTTCTCTTTCTCCCTCAGTGGAACCTCCCCATCATCCACTGGAGATAGAAAACACACTTTGATATTCAAACCATTTGGACTGAAATTACTTGTTCGTTCCTAAGTTTCTCTCTCCTCAATCTCTATTGAAATTCTGTACTCATCAACTCCCTTTCTATTTTGAGCTAAACTGAGAAAAGGATAACCCAAATGCTACAATGCTAGCCCCTTACTTCCTCAGCTAAATGAAGGAGTCATGGACATAAACTACGGTTTATACTTAAAACTATCCCTAACTTTATGACATCAGAATATAAACTATGTAGGAAACAATATCCAATACCTTTTCAATGGCAAAAACAGTAACTATCTGGATGGTGCAGATGAACCTCACCTTGGTCCAGGGCATTCCCAGCACTCTGAGGTACAGGGGCAGCTTGGCTTGGGAAAAGATCTGCATTTGAAGGGCTCCAATCAGGACCACCTGGATGGATTTTAGAGCCTAGAATGCAGAAAAACAGCTACAAATGACAGAATTCTAAAAGCACTTTTACTTATTCTTTCTGTTCAGACTTTGCACCTCTAAAATCAGCTTTAAATTCCAGACTCAACTACCTAGTAAAATTTATTTTAAAAAGACATTTTTCTTTTCTAATTCCATGTTTTTCCCACATTTCTCAATGTAACATTAGTTACAGCAGACAAAGAGTCTGGAGCAGCAAAGACCCACGCTAGGCATGCCTGTCTAGCAAGCTCAAGGACCTGAGTTCAAATTCCAGTACGGAAAAAAAAAACCCAATGTCTTATTCTTTATTTTCTTCATTATGGAAGAAATAGTGTATCACCTAGAAAATAATTTATAAGCCCCGCAGACATACCTTACACACAATACCTTAAGTGACATGTGTACAACACAAAGACAAAGAGAAGACTTTTAACCCATGGCCTTTCACAAATCAATGTGTTCAGGACTTTTACACACTGATATTTAAATTTCAAATGCCAGCCTTCTTTTAAACTTGGTCTTACAAAAACAAAACTGTAACTCTCTAAAATAAAATTCAACGTAGGTGGCACTACTGCTTCACAGCACTTACCATGGCAAAATAACAAAATACAATGAGCTATTTTTTGCATGTTAATAACAGGTTGAAGAAAAAAAAATAACACTGGCTACTACCTTTTCCTTCTGGAGGTCTGAACAGGGTAAAGAATGTTTATGGCTTTTGCCTCCCACAACTCTCCCTTCATTTTTTTTCTTTCTGTTACAAAGTCCTGGCCTGCACCCTAGGACTACATAGAATGTAAAGATTACTAATGCCAGGACCCTGTTACGTTCACTTTTCAACGCTCAAATTGTTTACTTTTATTCTAAAAATCATCAGTAGGTTAATTTCCATGCATAAACAAATGAATATGTAACATTATTCATTTAGAAAATGGATTTAGCACTTAACTTTCTTTAAGGATAACACTATTTATACATATACATATATATGTATATATGACCTTTGTACAAAAAAAAGAAATGTTCTCAAGTTATTGACAAGAGATAGAAATTTTCTTTGTAAAGAAGGAACTTGTTTTGTTGTCTTGTTCTGCTGACATAGTCTCTATGTACCCCAGCGGAGCTTTGAACTTGAAATCCTTCTGCCTCTGCTTCCAAAGTGCTGAGATTGCAAGTGTGCACCCACCATGCCTGGTAGAAAGGAACTCCTAAACATAACTTTCTGATTTTATCTTATTTCATTTCCTAAGTGGATTTTTTTACTCAGGGAAAATGTAAGAAAAAAACAAGGACAAAAACAAAAAAAAATACCTTTTAACTCAGGCATGGGAAAAATAAGTGTATCTAGGAAAACAAACTGTGTAAAGACTTTGTTTTTACCTTTATTTTGCAAAGCAGCCCCAGACCTCATATTGGGTAGTGTCTGTATCTTCATTGGGCCCTCTGAAGCCTGTAAGACCAAGGAGCCATCAGGCAGGGCTGGTTTCACCAGTAGTTCGGGCCTCGAGGGCATCCGTGGCATGGTAGATGACTGGATATAGGGACCCACAGCAGCCACGCGACTTGGGGCTGACATCACTTGCTGGGGAAGATTTCCATCAGATGAAACCTCAGGCAAGAAGACAGGTCTTTTTGTATTACAAGCTGTACTGGATGATCGCACTCAGAAAAGCCTGTGACATTTTCATAATGATTGCTTTCAGAATCTAACCATAGATACCTACTCAAAACATCCCTTTACAAAAACACTCCACAATGTGCTCTCTCACCCATCCTTAATAAAAGTATAAGCAGGACTACATAAGTAAAACTTTTTAGAAAGTAAAAAAGCAGTGAGTTATCTTCCAAAGATTACTCTTTTTTAAATTTTTTTTTGGAGGACACGCTTATATGAGAATTCTCTCAATTAGCTGCTTAAGAAAATCTGAACTCATTGGGCAGGTCATCCTTCTCTCCCCTTCTCCCCTCCCTCAGCCTGCTCCCTCCTCCCTGGCTCACTGCCCTCCCCCAAACCAGGTTCAGGAAGCCCACTCACTGGGAGATTCTCCCTCTGCTGTAGTGCTGCCTTCTTCTTCCACAGCCGGTCCCTCAGCTCATTAACACGCTTATCCATGATGGCCACTTCTGAATTGCGCTTATTCAAACACTCCCTCTGTTGTTGCAGCTTGGCATTCTGCTCTTGATTCAATTTGTTTCTTAGCTGAATAAAATAGGAAGGAAACAAAAAGAAAGCCAAAAAATAAAATTTCTCCAACAGGTGATCACATGGTTAACTATGACATAACTTCTAAAAATGCAAGTCCTTCTCCACATGCCTCACCTCCTGCTTTAAAATCAAGTGACATGTGTGCGAGTCCATTGGTTGTGGTTATGCCTCAAGTTTCCTGTGTAAGGTAGCATCAAGTTTATTCTGGATTCTCTGGGGTTTAGGGCTCTCCTTTCCTTCTACCCAAAGGAAGGCAGCTGTAATCTAGCACTTCCTGCCACTTCTGATGACAGAAAGCTCTGTGTTTCCTCTCAGCACTCTGAATCAGGAATCAGCAGCTGTGGCCTACCTGCAGTTCCTTGTAGAGACGATCGAGCTCAGCCACAGCAGACTGGTTGTCATGGTGGCCGTCGATCCTGCCGTTCTTGAGCATCTCTAGCTGCCGGGTAAGTTCTTCTACTTTTGACACAGCGAGAACGAGCTCCCTCTGTTTTTGTTGGAACAAGCTATTCATCTGTTCAATTTCCTCCACTACAATGAGAGGGTTGAAAAGAAAAGTGAGAATGGATTACTTCCCTGGCAACCAAGCTTTACAAGAAACTTTCCAATTAAAAGTAGAAAACTCTCAGAATGTCCTAAAACCAGCCTCACTTCTTTTAGAAGCAAATGAAATCAACACAGACATCTCTAAACGTCTACCATCTGAATGCAGATAGTTGAAGGATTTGGAGAATTTATATATTGACTACTATTAAACATTCAACTCCAAATTTTGAAAACAATGAAATTTGTTCAGTGCTTTTTTCCCCAATCTTATAATGATGGTAGATGGAACTACGGAATCACTATAATTGTAATTAAAATGGTATTATTATAAGTGGAGCTATCATATGAACAAAAATCCTTACCTTCAACAAATTCTTAATTTGAAAAAAAAAGTTAAAGAAACCTTACATCTTCGAAGCAATTTTAAAACCATGTCTAAAACACTTAATGATGCATTCCACTGGGAGAAACTTGTAGTATCAAAATTACATGTAGTAAATTATACTTTTTCAACAAAATCTCTCCCTAAAGTTTAGAGACTCAGCCGGGCGCCGGTGGCTCACACCTGTAATCCTAGCTATTCAGGAGGCTGAGATCTGAGGATCGTGGTTCAAAGCCAGCCCGGGCAGGAAAGTCCCTGAGACCCTTATCTCCAATAAACCACTAGAAAACTGGAAGTGGTGCTGTAGCTCAAGCGGTAGAGCGCTGGCCTTGAGCTGAAGAGCTCAGGGACAGTGCCCAAGCCCAGAGTTCAAGCCCCACGACTGACCAAAAAAATAAATAAACAAAGTTTAGAGACTCACCTTTATTCTTACTATAATTCAATATATATTTCCTATACCATTCTGCTTTTTAATGCCAAAATGGCTTTCCCCAAAGACGTCCTGTCTCCTGGGAACAACTTACCAAGTTTCCCATTGCTCAGCCTCTTCTGTTCCACATGCCCTTTAAGTGCTCTCACTTTTTTGAGCTTGGCTTCCTGATTCTCAGCTATTTCTCTGAGCCTCTTAAGTTTCTCTTGCTCAGCAGCTTGTTGCTGTTGACGCTGATCTTGTTGTTTCAAAAACTTCAAGCGTTGTTCCTAGACATGAAACAAATCAACCATCAGGCACAGGTAAACTACTGATCTCAAAACCATCCCACAACTAAGGGTTCAGAGACAGGCGCAGGCTGGGTGTTCCGCTCCCCTACCTATCCCACACGCTGCCGTCCCTAATTCCCTGTTAGGATCTTCAAAACAGACCCTCCTGAGACCGCACTGGAAGCTCTGCGAGACAGGATCCAGGAATGGTTATTTTTAATTATAATGGTTTCTTTACAGCAAATAGTGATCGTTAAACTAACTTTCATAAAGAAGGAGCTAATGAAGAGTTGGGAGGCAGTGAAAGAACATAAATTCAAAAGATGTGGATTTAAATTCAGATCCAAACCCAAGTTCTGACATGTATTCCCTATGGATAAACTATACAGCATCTCCAAATACAGACTGTGTTTCTTCATCTACAAAGTGGAGAGACTAGGTGATACCTGTTACTATGGTGAAGATTAAACGATCTAAGAAATGCAAATCTCTTATACTACATAAAAGGTAACTGGGAAGAGCCACAGAAAAAACACCTTTAGAAAACTGCTATTATAGCCAGGTATTGTGACTCAGACCTGTAATCCTCGATATTTGAAAGACTCGTATTTTGGCGAACCATAGTTCAAGGCCAGTCCAGGAAAAACATTTGCAAGATCCTAGCTCAACTGATAAAAAGCTGGGTGCCATGGTACATACCTGTCATTCCCGCTATGTGGGAAGCTTAAATAGGAAGATAACTGACCACACTGGACCAGGCAAAAAGTGAGACCCTATTCAAATACTAACAAATGCAAAGGGTTGGAGACATGGCTCAAATGCTAGTGCTAGGCCCCGTGTTCAAACCCCAGCACTAATAAAGAAGCCTACAGCTAGCAAAGAAGCAGCAGTGAGACTGGTTTTGACAGTATAAGAGAGGTTTCGTACAATAATTTTTCTTGTCAAGGCCAAAACTAGGAGTAGTCTATTCATAGAAATTAATTCCCCCAAAATAGCCCCAAATTAAGAAAGATGTCTACTATTCTTACCAAGCAGCAAAAGGAGACAACATAGCACTGGTGAACTTTAAAGCTGTTCCTGCTGTAGCTCAAAGTGGGTCTTGGCAGTAAAGCAAAGGGCTCTTTATAACCTTCCTAGTTCACTGCCTCTCAATGAGACATAATTCATTTTAATTAAAATTAGGGGTCAGCTCAGGCACAGTGGCATGTACCAATAGTCAACTATTCAGGAGGCTGAGGCAGGAGGATCATTAAAGCCCAAAGCTCCAGCCTAGGTAGCATAGATACTATGTCAGAAAAGGGAGGGAAAGTCATCATCAAGAGTCAGGAAATTTTCAACATTGGAATAAAGCAAAGATTTCTACAAAGAGCCATATAGCTTATGACTTTGGATTGACAGTATCACGTTCAACGTGGGAAGCTGCCAACTTAATAAGGAATGTGGACTGGAAATGGCTCTACGCTTATGTTAACAATGATGGACTGGTAGGTCTTTGAAAAGAAGATCTTACCTTAGTAGCCAGCATTTGTTGCTGGGCCTCAATCTGTTGCTGCTGGCGAGACGCCATTTCCTGAAGTTCCGCAAGAGTCATATCCATCCTAGGACTACTAACCTATACATAAAATCACAAATCCAACTTACTATAAAATTATCACAGAGATTTTCTCAATGGTCTACTTGGTAGCTTCCTGGGGCTCGAACTCAGCCTTCTGAGTAGCTAGGATTACAGGTCTAAGCCACCAGTGCCTGGCTCATAATGTTAATTTTTACATTAACATTCATTATGTTGACTTATTAAGAAATAAAACATACTAATATTTAAACACTGTTTTGTTGTCAATTTAAATTGAGTTGTTGCAATGAATAGGGATATAAACAATGATTTAGAATTATTCTGTTCTATAGGTAATTTATAGAAAGATTTAATTTATATAATATCTGATCATATTAAACACAGTACTAGGGTATTAGCAGCAAACTAGAAATCGAGTCATCGAAACATTATTTAAAAATATTTTAGTAGTAAAAAATTCAAGACACGGTGAATCATCAGGAGCAGAATGAGAAAGTATCCTCTTTTAACATTTACTCAATATTGTTCTAGAGAAACAGTGCAGCAAAACAATACATAAGCAGAATTCTGAATGGCAAGGAAGAAAACAAGCTGTCTTTACTCAGAAACAACATACTCACCTATGAAAAAAAAATCCTATGAAATCTACAAGAAAAGCTATCCAAACTAGTAAGTTACTTACCAAGATTGCTAGATTTTGTGTGTGTGTGTGTGTGTGTGTGTGTGTGTGTGTGTGTGTGTACTCCATATTCCTACAGAAATGGAACATTTTTAACCTTGTAATCTTTTTTTTTTTGTCATTCATGGGGCTTGAACTCTGGACTTGGGCACTGTCCCTCAGCTCGTCAGCTCAAGGCAAGTGCGCTACCACTTGAGCCACAGTGCCACTTCCAAAAATGGAACATTTTTAAATAGAATTAAAATATGAAAGGCTTAGGGATAAATTTAATGTATATGCAAGACCTGTGCACTGAAAATTTCAAAATACTGCTGAGAGAAAAAAAACACCTAAATAAATGGAACAATAAAGCATGTTCTGAATGGAAAGTTCAAATTATCAAGGTGTAAATTCAACAGAATTCCAACTAGAATCCTAGCAGGCTTTCTTGTAAAAACTGATAAACCAAAATTCATAGAGAATGCAAAGCATCTAAAACAGCTAAAACCAAAGTATACAAACAGGAAAAATAGGAAAGTCTCCTGCCAGAATAGGAGCAAATGCTAATAATCTGGATTCTAACAAAGTACAGACAGGAGAAATATGACTTAGCTAATCTCTAATGGTATTAGAAATTCTGAATTGTGAAAGGAAACATTTTGATGGTTGCCAATGGCTCACACCTGTAATCTTAGCTACTCAGAAAACTAAAATATGAGGGTTGTGGTTCAAAGTTAGCCCAAACAAGAAAGCTTATGAGACTTATCTCCATAATCCCCCAAAAGTCAGAAATGAAGCTATGGCTCAAGTAATAGTAGAATGTTAGCCTAAGAGAAAACAGCTCAACAGCAGTGCCCAGGCCCTGATTTCAAGCCCCACAACTGGCAAAAAAGAAAGAAAGGAAGACAAAAAAAGGAAAAGGTATGTTGAGAAACTTGCTTACCCAAGCACCAAAAACCCACATCTATAATCCTAGCTTGTGAGGAGGCTAACATTTGTGGATCAAGATTTGAAACCAGCTTAGCTAAGAAAGCCTTGAGATTCTTATCTCCAATTAACCAGCAAAAAAAACAGAAGTGGAGTTGTGACTCAAGTGGAGGTGTAACTTAGTCATGTGTGAAAAAGCCAAGCAAGAGCACAAAGTCCTGATTTCAAGCCCCAGTACCAACACACGTGAGCTTACACACACAAAACTTAAGTTGATAATGCGATAGCAACTACTATTGATATGTTTCCATTTTTCTAAAAGTAATGATAGCAATAAATAAAATCACAAAAAAAACTTATTCCTCTAACTTGCTCAACACTTACAAAATTTAAAGGTTAAAAAGCAGGTTAAAGGACATGGATTTACGATGCCCACTTACGCCATTTTCCTTTCTTCGATGTTCACCAGTAATTTTTACTCCATTCCTCTTTAGATTTGGATCCTGAGATCTTGGTCCACTCACTATATACAAAGTTTAAAAACTATGTGTTAACATTTGAGTTGACAGATAACAGTATCAGTTCCTTTCAGAGTTCTGTTATTATAACTGTTTGATACTTAAAGTTGAATGAATACTAACTAGCCAGGCACAGTGAGTGGTGAGTGACTCACACCTTTATTCTTAGCTACACAGAAGAAGATCAGGAGGATTGTGATTCAGTCCAGGCAAAAAAGTCTGAAATTCTACTTCAACCAAAAAATAACTATGTGGTGGTACCTTCCTGTCATCTCACATAGAGGGAAGCATAAATGGGAAGACTGCAATTCAGACTGAAGTGGGCTTTTTTTTTTCTAAAGTATGGCTTAGTGGTAGAGTGCTTGCATAGTGCTCATGAAGCCTTGGATTTGATTCTTCAGTACTACATAAATAGAAAGAGCCAGAAGTGGCACTGTGGCTCAAGTAGAGTGCTAACCTTGAGCAAAAGAAGCTCAAGGACAGTGCCCAGGCCCTGAGTCAAAGCCCTAGGACTGGCCAAAAAAAAAAAAAAAAAGAAGCTCAAGGACAGTGCCCAGGCCCTGAGTCAAAGCCCTAGGACTGGCCAAAAAAAAAAAAAGTAATAAATAAATAAAGCAAAAAGAGCTGGGGACATGGCTCAAGGGGTAGACAGGCCACCTAGCCAAGCAAGCTCAAAGCCTGAATTCAAACCGTGGCTACTGCCAAAATACTAAAAATAATTAACTTTAAAAAAAAAATTTTTTTTAAATTCTTGCCAGGCGCTGGTGGCTCATGCCTGTAATCCTAGCTAACAAGAAGGCTGGGATCTAAGGATTGTGGTTCAAAGTCAGCTCAGACAAGAGTGTCCATAAAACTCTAATCTCCAATTAACCACAGAAAAACTGGAAGTGGCCACGCTGTGGCTCAAGTGGTAGAGTGCTAGCCCTGAGCTGAAGAGTGCAGGGACAGTGCTCAGGCCCATAGTTCAAGACCCATAACCAACAAAATAAATAAATTTTTAAAATAATACATACTTAAAATGCTAATAACAATGAAGTTTAGGTCTCATAATTCAGTCCATTTTGGAAAATCAATTACATGGAACAGTGACTATTAGTAATAAGTGTGTGCCATCTTGCCAACTACTCAACTAGAAAAGCTTCCTAATTCACATAATGAAGGTGGGAAAATAAATGAAAATAATATACTTCTGACTATTGGTACCTTACAGCATCTACAGTTCTTGCTCCTATTTCTTAGTAGTGAAACCAAAAATAGCACCATTAAAAGAATAGAAAATCACATCTATACTCTGTTCATTGTCAGTGTACTACATAGGAATGAAGCAGTTGAAAATAGGACATTTATGTTTGGAATATTTTGTTTACTGGGGACATTCTGTGGTAGTGTATTAGTATGCTGTGAAGCTCTGTCAACATAGTATTCTGCTTTTTTGGTTAAAAAGAACTTTCAAGTGAAAACTCAAGTGAATCTCTGTACCACTTGACACATCATAAAATGAAAAGTTTGCTGAGCACTGGTGGCTCACACCTGTAATGCTAGCAACTCAGGAGGCTGAGAGCTGAGGATCATGGTTCAAAAGCCAGCCCAAGCAGGAAAGCCCAAGAGAATCTTATCTCTAATCAACTGCCAAAAAGCCAGAAGTGGAGCTATGGCTCAAGTAGTAGAGTGTTAATCTTGAGCACAAAAGCTCAGGGACAGCACCCAGGCCCTGAGTTTAAGTCCCAGGACCAGCACAATAGAAAAGATTCAAGTAATCTATACAACACTTCTGTAAACAAGAAAAAGGGGGGGGGGACCTGTTCAACTTTAAGACTAATTATTTTCTTTGCTCCCCCACAGAGCACTTTACTAGTTTCTCCTTAATGTATCAATTACAGAATGAGGGTAAAAGCAAGTACTTTAAAAAATAATTTCATACACATTCTAGGTCACAGGTCCTAGTTAGAAAAAGGACATGGTCAGAGTCTCCCAATCCAAAGCTGGTAAATTAACACCTTCCCAGAGCAGACTGAAGCAATCCTGCTGTATACCAATCTAAACACCATGTGGCACTGGTGCTTTGCAACAATGTGCAAACAGCTCTGTTATCTGAACATTATATTTCTCACATTACAGATACATTGAAACTGCCTACTGCACTACAAGAGACTATTCAATAATTTACCTAGCACTGCACAGCAAGATCTTTGAATTACTAGATTACTTAGAAAAGGATATTTGTAGTAATATAAACAAAGAATATAACAAAAATAAGATACAAATGCCATCAACTTAAACATAAAGAGCTTAGGAAAAAATACATGCCTACCAAGTAAGAGGACCGATACCAGAGATACTAAAAGTCAGGTAAGCCAGCCTGGCAGAGGTGATTCAGGTTCCACTCCTGGCTCTGCCTCTAGGTACGGCCTCTGACAAGTCACTTAACCCTAGCTATCAGGTCTGCTCTCCTTACAGAGAAAAAAAAAAAAAAAGGCCGGACTGAATTCTGGCTCCCTATTCTAAATTTCATCATTTCTAGTTGCCAGGTTATATATGGACCCTTCTATTAAAACAATAGTATTAAAACTAAGATTTTATAATTTCTACTAATTAACATGTTTTACTAACAAGAAAAATGCAGTATGTTCCATTTTTATTTTAGCAATTCTAGCACTTTTAGAATTACATGGTAATCCTTCTAGCCATGGCTTTCCCTGAGAAGGGCACGTCTTCATGGATCTCCAGGTGAAGTTACTCTTTCCCTCACACTTTGAGACCTCCAAGGTCACAGGATGGCCATGCCTTCAAGTCTAATGCTTCTTCTAGCCCACAACTCTCTATTCTATGTACGACTTTCTACCCCTTCCTTACATCCAAAAACTCGGGTCATAACCATTGGTCATTAGTTGTGATTGCATGATTCCATTACTCTCTCAAGGTACAAGTCCTGTCTTCTTCTGGATGACTTTGCCACCAAAAGCTAGCCTCTCAGTTCCATAGCTGAGTGGTCTCCATGCTGAGGCAGGCTCATTTTTAAGGTGACCTAGAAACACCTGGCCTCTGAAAGTTCAAATTCCAAATGTTCTGCTTTTCACCACAATTTATTTTCCAGCTACTTACCTCATTCATTTCTTCTCTTGCTATACCTGTTTATTAATCCGAGTGATGCTTGTGGTCTCTGAACTGTCCTCTTGGCCCTCAGCCCCCTCAGGAGGACATTCATGACTCCAGTCTTCATGTTTCCCACTCAGATTAGGTGTTCCCTTGCTAGTGCTTTCTCCCCTGCACCAACTTCCCAGCGGGCTTGTTGGGCAAAATCCCAACCAGGGAGGGGTCAGTCTAACTGTCATCCCTCACAATCTCCCTGGACAAGCAGAGCACTAGTGCAGAAAAACTACACAGGGTTCAAGTCTCTCATCTCAGCTGGCCCCAAAGCTTGCAGCAACCTGGCTTCCCCAGTAAGCACACTCTCTTCTCAACCGCAACTGTCTCAACCTGCCAGCCTATGTCTATTACCACGACCCCATATGACTACCTCTACTAATGTACCTGTTCCACTGGTTCAACTTCCTAACCTCTCCATCTCAAAGCTCTAGGCTCTTCCCCAGGCATCACATGTCCGTGTCCCCCTCCCCACCTCCCCCTCCCCTGGCAACTCCCAATGTACGAAGCTCAACTATGAATCATTCAGAGAATATTACATACCAGTGTCTCTAATAGGAGGGCATTCGTGACGAAGGAAGAAACGAACTTCATTTCTCTGACTTCCAAGTCGCTGAAGAACATCAAACATTCTCTCATTATCATCAACTGGACGTTCTGAAAGAATTGATTGAGAAATCATATTATCGGTAGGTAAAAGGAAGAGAACATATTTGCCACCTATCCTTGCTGTAAATTATGGATGAATGAGGTATTTGGCATCATAGAAAATCATTTTTTCCATTAAAAGAACTCCGAAGAAGCAGAAGGGTCACAGATTTCCCACACTTAACTATCATTGTCATGCCAAGGTGGAGTACTAGAAAGAGATTCAGATCTAGGCCAGCTGTCAAGAGCACAAGAGTCTAATCTGGAAGGCTGCTCACTCACTGTAAGCAAGCTGTTTAACGTTTGTAATGTATTAGATCACAGGGTCTCCTTGTGAAAGCAACTTTCTAACTAGACTATTATTTTTTAATTATAGTCTTTGATATAGGCTATTTCTAAACTATAATTTTGTAGATATTACAAGTTCAAACTTTCCATTTCCTAACAAAAGGCTGTTTATTGCAATGAAAATATATGTATGGCTCTCCTGCAGCAAGATTACCAGTTTTTTCAGTACTTAGAGACAAAAAGAAGGGCACAAGTAAATGCTCCACACTAAATGGGAGTTTTAGGAGAAACAATGTACATCGAGTTCTCAGAAAAGAACAAAGAAAAAAATCTTTCACCCTCAGGAAAGGAAGCTGGGTGTAAAACCAAACATCCTCATTGAGAAAGCAAGTGCTTAAAGAAACTACAAACTACCAAAGAAACTACAACATGTCGATTAAATTACACTTAATCAGCCATCAAAGACATGATTTCAGTACCTCAAATAAACAAGGGCACAAAGAATGTGGTAGCCAAACCTTTGGCAGATAATTCTGAGAATTAACTCTGAGCTTAATCTGGTTGTTTGTAATAAACAACTTGTAGTTCTAGTTCTGGCTCTGCTTCCAGTACGTAAAGTACTGGAAAGTACGTAAAGTACTTTTTAGAGAGGTTTTTCTGCTCTAAAAAGCATACAAATGTAAGATTCTCTCCAAAAGGAGAACACTCATATCTGAGGAAATTCTCTTAGTAGGAATGCCCCAAACACAAACACTGTACTCAAAACACAAGAAGTAGATACGTCCTTCCTGCTAGCTCAAGCCTATACTGCAAACTACTCAGGAAGCTGTTATGTAAGGACGAAGGCTGAAAGCCAGCCCCGGCAGGAAAAGCCATTTATTTCCAAGTAAGCATCAAAAAAGATAAAAATGGCACAAGTGGTAGAGCACTAGTCTTGAGCAAAAAAACCTCAGGGGGCTGGGAAGGTGGCTCAGTGGTAGAATGCTTGCCTTGCATGCATGAGGCCCTGGGTTTGATTCCTCAGTACCACATAAGCAGAAAAAGCTGGAAGTGACCCTGTGGTTCGAGTGGTAGAGGGCTAGCCTTGAGCTGTAGAGCTGAGGGACAGCGTCCAGGCCCAGAGTTCAGGCTCCACAACTGACCAAAAAAAAAAAAAAAAAAAAACAAACAAAAAAAACCTCAGGGACAGGGCCCAAGTCCTAAGCCCCAGAACTGCACACACACACAAAAGACAAGAAGTAAAGCAGGCCAGGGGTTAGGGATGGAGAACTGAAATCTCCAGGACTCTTAAGAATTTACAATCTAAGGCAGAGTTTTAGACTTCCCTATATATGGAAGCAAAGCGGCTGAAGAGTTTTAATAGCAGGAACTGTATTATCCAGTTCTCATTGTAAGAGATCACTGGGCTTCATTACACACCAATAGTCTATTTGACTCTTACATAAAGAGAAAAAATAATTCAGAGAGTGCAAAAGACCTTCTAGAACATCCCAACTGTGGGAAAGTCAACTAAAGATGAATAAAACTTCCTACCCTGCCTGGTAAGAAGTGAGGGTTCAGCTAAAATTAGATGCCATGAATGGAGCAATCTCATTAACACAGTGTATACCTTGCTCTGCAGACATTCTGGCACCTTCAGAGAAGGAAAAGGAAACAGTAGCAGTTGATCCAGCTGTGCAGGAACAAGGCAGAAATGATGGAAACTGCTCCCACCTCTACAAACCCCACTGGGGCCAAAAGGAAGCAGGCCACCCCATTTTAGAGCTCCAAAGAGCTATTGTAAAGAATCTCTTCAAGGCTTCTGATTCTGCCTGTGACAGCACCACCACCTCTGCCCCTCTCCCACCTCTGTTCCTCAACAATGACAGCTGTCCCTAAAAAACTATAAATAAAAAAAAAAAATGAGAGGCCAAGATGATCAGGATCCCTCAAACTTCTAAGAACACCTAAATATACAAAAACTACTTTGAAGCACTATACATTTGACTGTAAGACACACTGGGCACACCGGCCACCTATCCTGACCTTCTGTTAACTTAATAGTGCTCGGCTTCATTTCACTGCAGAAAAAGGAATCAGCAAAGAGAGAGCCCTGTCACAAAAGTTGGGTGAAAGCACTGTCTCCTGATGGGCACGTTTCTCTGTGGGTCACCAGGAGTACCCACTGTCACTCCTAGAACCCCAAAATAACAGTCAATAGAAGTGAAGTACAAAGCCAGGTAGCATACCGGAGCCACACCATACTTCAGCCAAATGACAGTCACTCTCGCCGGGCTCTTTGCACAGGTCTACCACATCTCTGCAGATTGTCTCAGGAGTCACGGGAACTTCTGTGAAGTGCTGCTCATTGTTACTGAGGTACACAGTCAGAAACATCTGGAAACAACAAGAAACATGTTAGTCACTAGTCCTGTCTGTTGGGCAGCACTCCCCTCCCCTCAACCCAGCCCTTTCTTTAAATCACCTCACTTGGAAGTTCAAAAGTACAACACAACAGGCTGGCTGCCTCAGGCTAAAGTGGAGTGGGGATCCTTGTTTATCCATAGGCACTGCCTGTGGAAACTCTGGGAATCCTATAGTTCAGTCAAAACAGTTCATGCAGAAGGTCAAATCTTTTTCTGCCAGTTTTATTTTTATGCTATTTATCTACCAAGTAGCAAAAATGTCAGAACCATACCTCAAACCAGTCAATCCCTCAGGATTGAACAGATAAAAGATATCTAAAAATATAGTATGTACTGCTTATATGCAGGGATGGGAAACTGGAGACCTATCTTAGAGAAAAATTTTATATAAACCTACCTTACCAGCATGAATTAAATAATAAGCAGAAATAATAGCTAATATACTAAAACTTATCTAACCTTGCATATAAACATTTAAGCTAATAGATATAATAGATAATTAACCAAAAATCTTTCTCCTAGTGAAATTAGATTGTGTGTTTCTCCTAGTGAAATTAGACATATACATCTATAGATATATACATACAAGGTAACCAGAAAAATTAAGAGGATATACTGTACAAACCATAAAGCATATAAAAGGGGGGAAAGCTGTAGAATTTCCCAGTATAAGCGAAGAAACTTTCCCACAAATGATCTCAGGTTTTTCACATTCTGATAAGTGGTACAGCATAAAGATATACAGTTCTAAGGCTTCAAATTTAGCCAACAGGGAAGCACTTAAACTGACAATGGAAAAATCATAAAACCTTGACAACATCACTTGAAAAAAATAAAGATTAACCAAGTTTGCAGAATTCCACCCAGTTGCTGCCGTGGCCAAAATACACAGCACAGTTAATGATGGAAACAAATTCTTTACACTTTTGTATTAAGAAGTACTTCGCCAGACTCCCCACTAGCACCAACACTTTCTCTGAAGTTTATCACTTCAAAAATAGTAATTTCCTTGTCAATGAGATTGAAGGTATTTATTAAGTTACAGAAATACTGGCTATCCAGTATATACACTAACCTGTGCTATATCACAAATACAAAGCTATTATGTAACCTAGCAGCACTGTACCTTAGCACACATCATTTTGCAGTGTACTTTTACCCTCTCTCAAACTTACATCAACTCAGACAAACAGAGCAGGTATTCTTTGATCATTATAAACAAAGAAAAAAAAAAGACTTGAGAAGTGATCTACCTGGCTGCTAAGTGAGAAGGTCAGGGTACAATTTTGTTTTTCTGATCTGTCATCTCCTCATGAAACTGTCCCTTCTAGCAAGAAAAATCTTAGGAAGTATCCCACTTAACCACAGTCACCCAAGTTTGTTGGTTTGTTTTAATACAGACCTAGTCTTTTACTTTCTGAAAGACTAACAGCTTTATTTACTTAAAAGCCTAGCTACAAGTCAGAATGATGAACTGTGGTCCTACCAAGGAATCCCTTCCCAAGGGGAAGGCACTGGTCTGCCTGGTCTGCCAGGCAAGGGTGTGAGCAGACTCCATTTCTTCTTCTATGTATGAAGATCAGTTCTGAACTGGTTTTAGTAATTATTCTCAAACCTTTGGTGCCCAGCCAGCAATGTGACATTTCCCAGGCAGATCTGATTTGAATGCTAGATCCACTTTTTTTTTTTTTGGTCGGTTGTGGGGCCTGAACTCTGGGCCTGGGCACCATCCCTGAGCACAGTCCCTGAGCTCTTCAGCTCAAGGTTAGCACTCTACCACTTGAGCCACAGCGCCACGTCAGGCTTTTTCTGCTTATGTGGTGCTGAGGAATCAAACCCAGGGCCTCATGCATGCAAGGCAAGCGCTCTACTACTGAGCCACCTTCCCAGCCCAGATCCATGCATATTTAAGACTGCCCTTGGGAAACAAGGACACCTCTCTAAAACTCAGCCTCCTCATCTTCAAATGAAAGTCTGCAAATTCCCTAAATGTTTAATAGGTGTCCACGTACGACACTGACAAGGTCCCAGGTGACCTGCCGGGACACGCACTTGGCCCATTCCCTTTACCATCCCTCACACTGCTTCCCCCATATCCTCGGCTATACCAGTATTCCCCTCACTACCAGCAAACATCCCAGGCAGGGTCCCACATCAGGCTTTGCACTTGTCATTCCTGTTTGGAATGCTCTTCCCCATAGGGCAGCAGAGCTGACTGCATTTCCTCATGTTTTCATACAATTGTCACCCTCTCATTTAGGTCTTCCAGCCCCACCCCTACACACTACTCCCAGCTTTGTTTCCTCTATTTGAGATATAACAGACATAGGGGAGAATTATTTGACTGGTTTTTTTTGTTTTGGACTCTGCTCCTAGAATATGAATGTCATAGTCTTTGTCTCTACACAAAGGTGTTTGTCTTAGTTTAGGGTTTTATCAGCCCAAAGGGAAATAAGCACATGTGTTATACATCCTGTGCATGCTACTGCATTTTACAGATGGAAACACTGAAGTGCAGAGAGATGAAAGTGACTTGCCCTGGTCACACAGATAATTAAATGGCAAAATGAAAGAAGTCTGAAACCCAAGCCAGGTTTCCTCCAGAGCCCGAGCTTTCAACCCCTGTTATCTTCCAGCGCCTTCGTTAGCAGCACATGAGGATGGGCTCTCCTGGATGTGGACCACCTTCTGTCACTGCCTCCAGGTCTGCCTTTTACAGTGATGTCTTTGCCTACATCTTAACTCTGATTTGTTTCATGGTAAATTTTCACTTAGGTATTGCTAGATGGTCTTGCCCGGAGCATACAAACTCTATATATTCTGATCCAAGTGGATTCTCTCATTTCTTCAGTTCACTGAGTCATGTTACTTTTGTCTCAATATTCTTTCTATTCGGTCAACAGTTAGACACTATCTGCAATATGGCCTGAGTTTGTGTGTACAAATACTCTTTCCTCAATAGCTAACACTGAATGCACACAGTGCAAAATTCAGAGAGAGAGGACAGGTGCACAGGGATTCCATAGGAAGCACCTAGGAACCAATAGCCCAGGCTGGTTCCTTCTTCCATTTTCATACTCTCTACCTCCTGCCCCACTGGAGAAGCCAAGTATCAAGAGAGCCTATAGAAGTTGTCCTCCTGGCCACAAGGCAAGGCACAGGAAAGGAGAGGAGGAACCCAAGTTCCTAGCACAGGAGCCTTCTGGCTGTACTATGCAGAAGGCTCCAGTGAACCAACCACCTACACAAAGTAGACACATACGCCTAGCTCTGGGAAATAAACACACCAAACTGAAGGAACCAATAGAAAAGCTGCCACGCAAGAATAAGGTGTCACTGCAGAGGCAACAAGACGGAAGACTACGGAAAATTAGTTCAATGAGGCAAGTAAGAAGCCACATCTTTATGGGCCAGAGATTCTAAAACTTTGACAAGGACAGAGGGTTGTTGAGATGATTGCTGGCCCCATCCTGGGAGTTTCTGATTCAATGGATCTGGGAAGGGGACTGGGGATTCACCATATCTAATAAGCTCTCAGATGGAGTGGACACAGTCCAGAAACCACACAGAGAACCACTATCTAAGACCATTAACAAGGAATTCAGATGATATGTTATGACACACTGGAGGCAAATCATTTAGAGACAAAGTAGATTAGTAGATACCATGGGCTTGGAGAAAGGAGGAGCTTGAGGAGTGACTGCCAGTGAACATAAGGCTGCTCTGTAGAGTGACAAATACTGAATCAGGGATGGTTGCACAAACCTGTGAATACACTAAAAGCACTGCACACTTCAGACTGGTCAATTTTAGTTATGGTATGCGAATTCTCAATTTAGAAAAGAAATCATGGGGAGGTTTGAATTGTAAAGTGATTTATGTCATTACACACACACACACACACACACACCCCACACACACACACACCCCCCACACACACACAGAGGCTGTTTTACATGAAGAGACTACAGGAGAAGTAAGGAAGACTAGTTAAGAAATACATACAGCACATATGAGCTAATGTAGTAACACAGACTGTAGGCAGAATGAAGATGGTGAAAAATGGCTAGATCTGAGTGATACTCTGCAAGCAGAGCCAAAAAGGCTCAATTAAGAGGTAGGATGTAAGATATGAAAGTGGACAGATATTAGAAATGAATCTTGATTTGTTGCCAGTTTACTGAGATGAAGGAGGAGGAACAGGCTGGAAAAGGGCCCACAGACAAGGACATGTCACATTTGAGATACCTCCCAGACATTACGTAGAGGTCCTAAGACTGGATGAGAGCAGCTAGTGGCAGAAAAGAAAGCTCATTTTTATGCCTTGAGCAAGTCAAACTCCCAGAAGAAGTCCCATAGAGACAAAGATTCATCACTATCACAAGGAAGAAAGGGGGGGAAAAAAGAAAGAAAGGAAGGAAAGGAAGGCAGGTGCATGGGGGGGGGGGAAGGGGAGGGGGGGCAGGGAAGAGGAAGAAAAAGAGAGTGAAGCCAGCCAGCCTTGGGAAGTGTAATACACCAGAAACCAAGCAAAGAAAGAGTTTCAGGAAGGAAGATAGGATCAACTGAGTCAATGAGACTTAGAGGTCTAAGAAATGAGGGCTGAGTCATAGAATCTGAAAAGATGCTGTTGACTGCCTTACACAGGGCCTGGCTGGAACAAGCTAGAGAACCCGAGGAGAGAAAGGAGCAGAGATAATCAGTACCGATAACTCTTCTGAGGTGTTGTGCTTTAACACAGGTAGACAACTTGGAGCTATACATGAAGGAGATGGTTAGTGAAGGCAGGGCTTTGTTATCATAAAATGGAATAAGCCCCTGTTCTCATCAATAGGTCAAAGGATAAAGGAAATGTGCTCTGTACACAATGGGATTTTATTCAGGCATGAAAAAGAATGGAAAGTATATCATCTGCAGGAAAATGGATCGTGCTAAGTGAAACAAGCCAGATTCAATAAATCATTGTGTAGT